TGGTCCCCAAGGTTGGGGGTTAAGCTTTGGGCTAAAAACCCACCTCATAAAAATCAAATGTTACAAAACACAGACATAGTGGTTCGGCTAAATATCAACTTTGATAAGCGGTGAGCAAGCAGCTAATGAATAGGGCTGTTCCCAATTAAATGGCCTTCTAAATGACAAGAAACACAAAAAAGATGATACAAAAAAAAAAGGTTGACACAAAAAGATGATATAAAGACACAGTAGCAGCCCGATTCTAATGGATAGGGCTATTCACAATTAAACGGCCTGCTAAATGACAAGAAACATGGAGAGATTAAGGCGAAAAAAAGCTAAAATTTTTACCTTGATGCTATTATGTCTTTCTTGACACTCATGATCCCCAGTTGGATGAAACAAATAGCAAGCAGAAGCAGGAAACCTTTCAGCAGCAGGTGGTGTTTGCAGTTCATTATGAAAGATGATCTGTAAGGATCAATAAAACACACATCATTAGCATCAACAAGCTAAAATCATTGTAGAACATTGACTGCAGTTTGATACTGTTGCAGTTCAGTTACTTTTTAAAAATGCTTTAAGACTATATAATATCAACACAGCATATTGCATTATGAGAAACAAAACGGATCAAATCACAAAGCTACATTTTGAAATGGACTAGAAGTTTAAAGAAATCATTTCAAGGAAAGGAAACATTTACAAATACAACCAAATTGCATTATTAAATACTGTGTCTATCACTATTAAAGAGGTCTTTCAAACAAGCTTAAAGTTTAGTCGCCAACAGATATTTGGAGTATCTTTTCTGAAGTAACCTATGTAGCCAGACCTCATACTGAAGGTTTGTGAACTTTCAAGCAGGTATCTTTGCAGCACAGAGAACACCAAGTGCAAGGAAGTTATGCTGCAAGTAAGTTAGGTGACATTAAAGGAGAGAAGGGTCTGGCTGCAGACGGAATTACATTCAAGCTCAGACCATATGCGCACAACTAACACCGCTCCTAACCCAATTTCACAGTGATGTCACCTGTTCTATTGAGTGCATGTGTCTTAAGACTGCATGACTGAGACTGCAAATCTGCAGCTAGATACTATTGAAGTGGGAGTAAGGATCGGATGGTGATAGAACATTAATAAAACACAATAGGTTGGATTCCATGTCCATGTACAAGACATTAAATAAATCAATGTAAACTCCAGGAGGTTTGTACAGCTCACTTAGAGCTGACCAGCCCATTCAGAGCTGGCTCTAACCTCCGTTTATACCCTTCTATGGAACTTTGGCCACTTTTAATGGTCAAGAACCACCCATTATGATATATGACTGACAGGTTAGCCAACCAATCAGGTTTTGCTTTGTGCCATGTCATGTTTGAAGATGTGGAAAAGTCTACTGAATAACAGCATGGCACACAACGAATTCACAAGCATCTTTAAAAATTCACAACAATGGCACATCAATATCCCTAATGATCTGTTAGCAAAACAGAAAAGAAAAAAATATTAACTAAAAACTATTTTATCCTGCTATACTAAAAGAATTTGAATATTATACAAACAACATAAAGGAAAGCACTAATAAAAAAAAGACATTAAACCATTTTTCTTACCTGAAGCCTTCAAGATCCTGTAACCTCACAGGGCCCTGACCGTTTATTAGTATGCATACATGCACATATATTGGTTTGTCTAATATTGTGTGTTTTGTACATCCCTGACCTTTTTTCATTTTCTTCTTTCCTTATTTATTTGTTTTGCTCTGTACTTTATTCTTTGAACATGTACATTAACAATAAGCATGAAAAATAAATTTTCTCTCATATTGTGATTAACGTAACTACTAGCAAAATAATGAGCCCCATTTGCACAGCTAAAGTGAACAATATTGTGCAAAGCATTCTCCCCTATTTTGGAGTGGGCATGTCAATGACATGCACACGCGCATTCTTTTGATAGCAAGGGTTAATCTATTATGAATAAGATTAGATTTTATGAACAACATTTGGCTTCACTCAGTTGCTGTAAAGTCATGTTAAGCATTTCCTTATTACGGACTTCAAACAGGGAGAAAAAGTTGAATGTAAAATTGCTGACTTCATCAACAAAATTATGACCCGCTCTTATGACAATAGTCAATGTTAATCACAAGTAAAGTTTGACAGAAATTTGGGTTTCCCTGGTCAGCGTTGAGCTGTTTCCTTTATGAACTTCTATACAGAGAATGTTTAAAGTGATATTGTTCACTTGATACAGTAAAATAAAAGCTTGTTCTTTTAACAGCAGAAAGTGTGTATGAGTATATTTTTATAGAAATTGGATTGTCCCCAGATGTTGTTAAGTTAAACCACATTAAGCTCTGATAATGGACTTCAATGGGGACAAAACGTTTAACGTCACAGTTCACTTCATCCACCTTTGCTAGTAGTTATTGTCAATTACAAGTGAAATTCATGGATTTTTGTTTTGCATAATTGTTAAACCACGTTAAGCGTTTTCCCTGTAATGCACTTGAATGGGGAGAAAACGCTTAAAGTGATGTTTTTACTTCATCTATAAAATTGGGGCTCGTTCTTTTTACAGTAGTTAGGGTTAATTACAAGAAAAGTTTGACAGAAATTTGGGTTTCTCTGGTTGGTATATTAAGCCACGTTATGCTTTTTTCACGTTGACTTTTATAATCTCCTCTGCTATTAGCCTATATGTTCATTTTTCATTACAGAATGAGCTCGAATGTAAATTTGCCACATTTTAAAGCTCAATGTCAAAGCCAAAACGTCACAAAACTAATTTTAACGTGCTTGGATATGTCAACTATGACGCATACCTTAAAAAATGGACTAACTGCCGTATTTTTTCCGTTTAGAAATTAAACATTTTTTTTATTTACTACGGCGGCAAATGCTTGCTGAATATTTATTCAGTCCCCCAGCTCAAAATACGTCCCTGCAACTATCTCTTGTACGATCTGGTTATTTACCAGCTGGACTTTAACCAAACACATAACAGAGCTAATAATAACACCGCCTTTGAAACGGCTTAACGATTATAAACTACGAGTGACACCCGTAAAGAAGCATGAAGTTATCAAATTTAACCTGTCACATCCGTATAGACGGGTCGCAAACACTGCTGCTTTCTGTTTAGACACAAAAGCGTTGATGACATAAGGCTAAAAATAAATCAAACGGCTCAATCGTAAACAATAAGCAAAACAACAGCACATAAAGGAATAGCTTTCACTTAACTTGAGTGTTGTTTTCGAAAACGCGTGGTCGATGGTTAATGACAATCACCTGCGCCGTCTATCAACCCCGGGTCATTGTTCACGCAAAACGTAAAATAATTATAAAATGCAGACGGCGATGACATGGAATAATGGTAATAAAAGATTCATATATTATTGGTATGAACTATTTTACAACTTAAAAATTTCTACAACGAAAAACACTTTCATATGGTCAGACTCATTACTTTGGCTTTTTTGTAGTTTTCTTTAAAAACACGCCACAGTCAAATCAAATCTGGCTTTGGTGGAATTTCACAGAATATGAAGGCACACGGACCTAAAACACACATATAAGAATGCTCATAAAAATAATGAAATAATATGAAAAACACTGCCTACCGTTGTTATCTGACAGTTAGGCCTACTTTCGTGTACTGCATGAACATCGTTTCTCATCCTGAAGAAACAAACCAATCACTTGAACAAACCTGACAAAAACTAAATTTAGCTTTTCTTAACATTAACATTTCTTTTATTGAAAATATTGCAACAACAGCAGAAAACTGCCCTGGACATTTCTCTGTATGAGACAAATATGCTCAGATTCGTATATTTAAGAAGTCTGACATAAAACAATTTTAGACTTAAGAGTGATGTCAGTGTCATCATCCATTTTGCCTTCTGTGTTTGTGGCAAACGTTTTCATAATAATATTATATTTTAACATTTTATGCAAATTAGAATTACAATGAAACATTAGAACTTCTCAAATATGTTTTAATCTTTTTTTAACAGCCATTGACTTGTATTGACTGTATTTTAGATTTACACTTTATGTGAGTAAAAGTGTAAATATCCTCTATTATATCATATTGAGTGCACACTCTTTCAGTTAAGGGGAAAACTTGCCATGTAAAAAGCTGAAAAGAAAAGCGTTGAGAAAAAATAAGTGCAAAATCTCTTCAGCAAGGCACAACACTTTCCTGACTAAATTGTTTAAACATTAAAAACTGTAATCTGGGACCATTTATTATAATTGGAGTCCAAATCAGTGTTAAAATCATCCTGTCATGTCTTTAAATATAAAACAAAAAGCATGAGCTAATTGAAAAGGTAGGCTGGAATGGTGAGTTTACAATAAGAAGTTTTGCATGTTCTGTATTATCAAGTGAAAACAATAGATTGAATAAATAGACAAAAAGTTTAGAATAAGCAGGATTAAAGAAAAGACAAGGCATAAAAACTTCCCATGAACTTGAAATAAATGTATACAGCAGGGGTCACCAATCCTGCTCTTCTTGCCTCAACACACCTGCCTGGATGTTTCAAGTATACCTAGTTAGACCTTGAATAGCTTGTTCAGGTGTGTTTGAATAGGGTTGGAGCTAAAATCTGCTGGACACCGGGCCTCCAGGAACAAGTTTGGTGACCACTGGTGTGAATTATTACTAATTATTAACTAATATGTTAAGAAATTGCTCTTTTGCTTGGACATTGTCTAAGTAAAAGTTATTTTCAGCAGACAGTAAATAACAATACACAAATCTGTGTAATCAGCTTCTATGGCACTTAAGAGGTTCTTTTATGTAGTTGCTGCATTTGGGACCTTTATCAGTAAATCAGGGAGGATTGTGCACAACATTCAAATAGTTCATTTAAAGTCTTCAACCAATACTACAGTACTACAAGACACTGTATTAAAGGGATAGTTAACCTAAAACCTGAAAACTCTGTCATCATTTACTCACATTTGACTTATTCCAAACCTGTTAAGACTTAGTATGTGCAACACAAAATAAGATACTTTGAAGAATGTTGTAAACCGGTAACCATTGACTTTCAAAGTATTTATTTAGTCCTTTCATGAAAGTCGATGATTACAGGTTTTCGGGTTTCTATAAGTATATCCTCTTTTGTGTTCAACCAAAAAAGAAACTTGTTAATGAGAGTTTGGAAACACTTGAGGGTGAGTAAGTGATTGTGTGAACCATCCCCTTTAAGATCTGGAGCTCAGCCGGATGCAGTGACCTCAGGATGAGATTTTGTGAGGTTTTATGAGCCGTGGTGCTGCTGAAGAGGTTTGGTCTCTGTTGTAGAGAGAGAGCAGAAGGAGTCAGGATGGGACTTGGCGAACTCCACCAGTTCATAAGACTCACGAATGTCCGAAAGACCAAGCCAGAATACAATCCAATGGCCGTTTACAAAACTGCCGTCACAGTGCTTGAAGTACCTGAGGAGAGTTTAGGGAGCAATGAGCCATGGATAGTGAATAGACAAAAACTGTGAGTGGCAAAAAAACAAAATGTGAACTGTAAAATGCGACTAAATTAATGGAAGTAGATTTGTTACCTTATAAATATTAAGTAAACAAACTATATGCATAATTATGAAAGTTAAGTCAATGGGTTTACTGACATTTATTTCAGTCATTTTCCTTTGACTTAGTCCCTTTATTTATCAGGAGTCGACACAACAGAATGAATCACCGACTTATCTAGCACATGTTTTACACAGTGGATGCCCTTCCAGCTGCAACCAATCACTGGGTAACATCCATAGACACTCATGCTCACTCATACACTATGACCGATTTAGTTTATTCAATTGACCTAAAGCGCATGTCCTTGGACTGTGGGGGGAAACCGGAGCACCTGGAGGAAACCCCCGCCAACAAAAGGAGAACATGCAAACGTGCAGAAATGCCAATTGGCCCAGCCTGGACTCAAACCAATGACCTTCTTGCTGTGAGGTGAAAGCGTTAATCAATGAGCCTCCGTGTCACCCATTTTTCTGACCTTCTTAAAGTAAAATCAACTTGTTGCTTTTAAGGCAGTGGGTTTACTGATTTTTTAAAACGCTTTTTACAGTGTGGAGGAGGGGACACACCAGGGATTGATGCGATTAGTGGTGCGGGATCTCCAGAAGAGCTTGCTGAAGTCCTGTCGAATGCATTCCCATAAGATCTGCCCAGTTCCCTGGCCTTGTTTACTGCTGCTGACCACAAACTTGTCCAGGTATGGAGTGCCACTGTTCACAGGCTCTGTGGTGATTATAGCAGCTGCACTGTAACTGCAACACAACACAAGTGGAGGTGTAACACTTTACAATAAGGTTCATTAGTTCATGCATTTACTAACATGAACAACTCTTGTACAGCATTTATTAATCATAATTGAACATTTACTAATGCATTATTAACATCCAAGTCCATGCTTGTTAACATTAGTTAATGCACCATGAGTTAATATGAACTAACAATGAACTACTGTATTTTCATTAACTAAAACTGACTAACATGAACAAATACAGTAGTAAATGTATTGTTCATTGTTTGTAACTAATGAACCTTATTGTAAAGTGTGACCAGTGCAGGTGTAGAAGCTCATTTTTTGGATGCAAAATACTGATTTATGAGCAATGTTTTACTGCTATTTAATTAAAAAAATTGACATTTTAATACACATTTATATTTTTTATTATAGCTTTTATATTGAATCAGAAAAGTGATAAGTGATACAGCTAAAATCGTAGATTACATTTTTAAAATATATAAAATATAAAATAAATGTTGTAATAGTTTTGTCCAAGCCAATTCATACACGTAAACATAAAGTAATGTATTAATATTAATTTACAAGTGTTGGTTTATTATTGGAAAATGATTGAATAATCATCATAGTTGTATTAGTAGTAATAATAATAATAATAATAATAATAATACATTTGTGCACACTTTGCAACAGCAACAATTATACACAAATACACATAATAGTTAATAATATTACACTACACAGCAACTTTTTGGCTAAATTATAAAAACAACAACAACAGACATTATTATGCATTTGATGTAAAAACATTATTATTCTAATTATTAATAGTAGTGATAGTATCAAAAAAACTACAAACTATACACTAATATTAACAACAACAACAACACCAACAATTTTATTAATATTAGTTTTAATAATAATAATAATAATAATAATTGCATTAATTCTAGTACTATTAATAATAATAATGATAATAAATAATAATAAAAGTTGTATTTATATTAGTTTTTATATTAATGATAATAATAATAATAATAATAATAGTAATAGTAAATTGTATAAATATTAGCTCAATAATAGTTATTATAATAATAATCATCATCATCATCATTATCATTATTTTATTAATATTAGTTTTAATAATAATAATTGTATTAATATTAGCTCAATAATATTATTATTAATAATAATAATAATACTATTAATATTAGCTTTAATACTACTACTAATAATAATAATTATTGTTATTATTGTTTGTATTATTATTATTATTATATTAATATTAGGTTTAATAATAATAATAATAATAATAATTATTATTATTATTATTATTATTATTACTATTAATATTATTATTTTACTAATATTAGCTTTAATAAAAATAAATAATAATAATAATAATTTTATTAATATTAGCTTTAATCATAATAACAACAATAATAATAATGATTATTATTATTATTATTATTATTATTATATTAAAATTAACTTTAATAATATAACTATTATTAATAATAATAATAATAATAATAATTAAAAAAAAATAATAATAATAACAGTATAGCGGAGACAGGTAACCAGAAAGAGAGGAGTAGGATTGCTCGGTAAGGACCTCAGTGCTTTATGTCGATTGCCTAACCACTACTAAGCTATTGGTGCAGACCATATGATCTTTTAAATAAAAATATAAATAGTTACATTTAAATTTAATAGTTAACTTTTTAATAAAAAAGTTCTCAAAAAAATAAATAAATAAATAGCAGCTCAACTACCATTAATCTTAAGTATGCGCCTTCAATTGCAGAAAACACTATTACAAACACTGCCACTACTCGTAGTAACAACTAACACCCTCAATATTACACCTCGTCCTGGCTGAATCATGAAAATATGACATTTCCATAGCTTCCATTCAAATGACTCGGCTTTCCCTTAAATAGTAAGCGGTAAACTCTGTGTTACAAGATTTAATATAGGTGTGAAGCGTAGAAATAACCTGTCGTTACCCTTCCGACAGGTAAACAGAATGCAGTCTGCCCTCCAGAGATGCTATATAATCCTCTCTCAGATTCTTCTCGAAAGACTTGTTAATCAGCGCCAGCAGACGGTCAACATCAATGTCCTCCAGACTGCTGTATCTGTGAAGAGCGAAGACATTTTTATTGTGATTTTTTTAAGATTTACAATGCAAATCCAACTACAACCACTTGTTAGGTAAACAAATATGATGCATCTACCAAAATACAGAAATTTGTATTTTACATAGTTGTTATTTTACATAGTACAAGTGTATTGCACAAAAATGATATAAACATTTGCATATTATTCAATAACATTATTTAAATCAATACAAAAATATCGGCCTAAGAAATCTGCAGAAACTGAATTTCTATGAGCGCAGATTCCTTGTGGTCCTATTTTATCATGTCAAGTAAACTCATCAGAATTTTTAAAATAACTTTGCTGATGAACCAACAATTATAGAAATTGTTATTCATTCATCCATTCAGTCTCTTTATTTATCCAGGTTAAATCTCTTTAATAAGACTGACCTGGCCAAGAGTGACCTGTTACACAAACAGCACTTTGAGCTCTTACGCTTATTCTTAATTTATTTTATCTTATTTCATTCTCTAAATTTGTAACCTGTGTTATGTTGTCAATTTATGTTGTTTGATGTAGCACCTTGGTCCTGGAGGAACATTGTTTCGTTTTACTGGGTACGGCCCTTTCTATTGTTGAAATGACAATAAAGCCGACTTGACTTGACTTGAAGAAAATGCTTTGTAAATTGAGCCACAAGCTGGATGATATCCAAAAACCATGTTTTTTCCTAGCTCTGTTTAAACACAGAACACTTCAAAATATAACAGATTGTTTGCACAGAATTTGAAGTATCAATAAAATGCAGTTAGACCACAAACATACACTGATGCTAACTCTGCTTCTCAAATGAGGTGCAGTAAGTTTTAATGTACACGTATAATGACTTACTGCTAATCTTTCAGCATGGTTTGATGTTTCTACTGGCAGTTCACAAAGAGAGTGTGAATAATGGCAGGCCTGAAATCTAATTATACAGTACGTCAGATTTATGAGAACAGCTTGTTCATTCTTGACACTCTGAAAATTCAGGCTGGAGCGGATTGTGATCAGACAAACCTTGAGTCAACAGCACAGTGTAGCTGTATATATACAGTACAAATAATATAATATAAAACAGATGAATGTCAACTATTTTATGATCTGATAACTTCTTAAAATGGAAACACTAATGAAAATAAATCATATATGGTACCTGCGTATAGGGTCTCCATTTTTAAACAGGGTACCCGAGCCTAAAAGTAACAAAAAGTACATATTTAATGCCTCATTTGCATATTCAAACATAAGATTTTAGAAAAAAAAGTCTGCAATATCCAACACAATCAGTCAACTTTAGAGATATTGTGATATATGTTTGTGTTTTGCCTTGATTAAATATTTAATTATTATCAGCAGATATTTAAACCCAGCACATTCAGTATCTACACTCTCAGAAATAAAGGTACGTGAGCTGTCACTGGGATGGTACCTTTTCCAAAGGTACACTTAAATGGTCATATTGGTACCTCGAAAGTATATATTAGTACCTAAAAATGTTAAGAGGAACACTTTTGTGCTTTTTAGGTACTAATATGTACTCTTGAGGTATTAATATGGACCTTTTAGGTGCAAATTTGTACCTTTTGAAAAGGTACCACCCCAGTGACAGCTCACATACCTTTATTTCTGAGAGTGTACAGGAGAGCTGTAGCAGTTCTAACATAAGTTATGCATTTTTTAAATATATTTTATTTAAGGTTTTTCACATTTTAAAGAACAAACCCAAATCCCTCCCATGCCAGCAAATAGTAATAAATAAACTTATGAGAAATGTAAATACATATGCAAATCCACAACTGATACCTAATCATATTCCTCCATTGGTAATCTATACCTGCACATATCCACAAGTCCAATCAAATACCTGCTTATGTACAATAAGTTATGCATTTTGACCTGTAATGAGAAGTGTTGTGTGCTGTTAGGTGTGTGTTGTCGATCTCCAGGCTCACCTTTGTGACTAAAGAGCTCAGTGAGGAGTGTGTTTGCAGAGGTGAGCACAGCTGAACTTTCCACCGGCAGCAGATTGAGCAGCTCTGCAATACTGCCGATGCGCTTCTGCTCCACCTCATTCAGCCATTCTGCACAACTCAGAGCCGGCAAATCACCCGGTAATGACACCAAACCCAGCACCTCAAACCAACAACACATGCAGCACTTACTAAGAAGCACTTTAGCCAGCCATCTCTCAGTTATATTTAAGAGAAAAGACAATTAAATAAAACCAAACATCATCAGCATGGAAATTAATTCAATATTTTTGATGCAAATGTAAATGAGAGACAGAATTGACTGCTGCAAACCTTCCAGAAATGTATACATGATATAAACACTGCCACCTTGTGTTCATTGTACGCTATCAAAGCAACATTTTTTTTTCTTTACAAGTTGAACCTCAGGGCGAGAGGTGTCCAAACTCAGTCCAGGAGGGCCAGCCGCCAATGTTCTGCTGAGTTTAGCACCAACTTGCTTCAACACACCTGCCAGGAAGTTTCTTGTATACAGTATCTAGTAAGAGCTTGATTAGCTGGTTGAGATGTGATTAGGGTTGGAGCTAAACTCTCATGGACACCGGCCCTGCAGGACTGAGTTTGGACACCCCAGACTGAATATATAGTTACAGTATATAGTGCTCAGAATAAATGAGTACACACTCTTTTTTTCCATTTCTCATTAAATATAGCCAATGGTGCATTAAAAAAATGATGTTGTGTTAAACAGTTAAATCATAAGTTCCATTAAAATAAGAGTTTGGTCAGCTATGGTCTTAGGAAATAGAAAGATAATACATTTAAATTGAAGTTTAAACATATTTTTTTTTTCATTTCTCTTTTTGTCCGAATTAAAAACATTTTATTTAATATTTTTTAAACATATTCAATCATTTTGGGTGTATAAACTAAGCAAATGTGTCTATAACGTAGTATTAATGTGTAATATATGAATAATATGGTTATACATATACATATAAACTACACACAAGGTTTGTGTGTGTGTGTGTGTGTGTGTGTGTGTGTGTGTGTACACACACACACACACACACACACACACACACACATTCACATATCAACTCTACATATTTGATAAAAGACACTACTGTATTTTTAATCTAATAAATATGATGCATTTATTTGATCTTAAATACTGCCCAATACTAATATTTTCCTGTATAACTTTATTTTCTGTGTTCTATTTATATATATGTACTTCTGTGATGCAAAATGTTGCAGTCATTCCTCCAGTATCATTCAAGTTCCAGAAATTATTCTGACATGCTCAAGAACCATTTCTCATTATCATCAATGAGCAGTATAAATCAAACAGACTAATAATGATTTCTTGCATTCGTCTCTTGGCTGTACCTTGTGGTTTTGGTTGCGGATTCCCCCTGAGCTGTTCAGGAAGATGACTTTGAGAGGCTGTAGTGTCTGTGAGATGGCCGTGGTCACCTGGATGGAGCGGAGGACAGAAGAGCGACCGGTCGTATCGCGACCCACTGGACACACCAGAGGAATCACTCGACAGTCCAGAGTCCATTGCAGAAGAGCTGAGTCCACAACTACTGACGGCCCACTGCTGACAAACGCACACACAAAAAGAGAGATTTGTTTGTTTATTTATTTATTGGTAATATTATTATTATTATTATTATAAATATAAAAAGTCAGTTTTCACAAATGTTGTGTAAATATTCGTATGAGGCGTTATTTATTAAAAACAGCATTTTGCATATATTTACCTGAAGTCAATTATAAATAAGTAACAATAAATAATAATAATAATAATAATAATGATTGATTGATTGATTAATTAAAATGATAAAATAATAAAAATGAATAACAACATAATCTATATGTTTAAAAATATTTACATAAACGTAAAAAATCTAAAAGTCTATTACAGTTTCTTCCAACTGCTTACACACAAAATCTTTTCTTGTCACATGATTTCTAAAACATCTCTCTTGCAAAACAATGCAAAACAACACAGCAAATCTCCAAAACCAGAAGCTATTTCTCAGCTTTGAACTCAGTTTCCAACTGCATAAAACACTTTTTTTAAAACACAGAATTTTGAAAAAAAAAATCTGCAGACATATGCAAAAATTATTTTGGGAGTTTCGTAACTAAAATCTTAACATATGAAATAAAAATACTAGCTTTGTAACTTATATAATGTTTACGATAAAATCCATCTAGATCCACTTATTTGATAAACAAAACAAGTCTCTCATATAATAAATCTACTAAAAAACAGAAAATATGACTTTACAAACTGTATTGTAGATAAATTAAATGAACACTTTCATATTAGTCAATAATATTACTGAAATTAATTTAAAAACTGAATAAATTTTAATTTAAACACATTTACACAGGTAAATAAATAGACTTTACGGTGGGCTAAAAATCTGCAGAAATATGTGGATATCTGTGTGTGCAGATTCCATGTGGGCCTGCTGATCACTTACCAATGAATGCTTTACTCTAGTATAGGCCCAAGGTGATAGGACGCTGGGCTGTTCTGGTCCAATAAAAACTGGTTTGCCACCCATTCACAATTTGTGGTTTTGTACCTACGGCATATTTACCTTTTTTTAAATATTAAATTCCTATAAATAAGAATAGATAAATTATTTTTAAACTCAGTGCTGTAAAGTGTATGATGGGTAGCCTTATGCCAACATGATGCCCACATGATTTTGTTTTTTTACATTTTTACATACAGTTTGTTTATCTTTTTTGTATGCTACTGTATACAACAGTAATGTTTGCCCAAGTTAATATTTTCTGTTTCTTCACTGCATTGGTGTTTACAGTGTACCTATCCCCCCTCTCAGCAGATCACTGCCACTGTAGAACATTGAATTGAATTGTAGATATAAGCCTATAAAGAGCAAAGAACTTTAGATTTCAAACAACAGTGTTGACATGCTGTATCCAAAAGTGTTATATTATGAAAGACGTGTTTACCATTCGATGCAAATGCTTCATTCTGACATGTGCTTATGGCATTTTGAACGCAGATTTTCATTTTGAAGGAAATGTGAGGGATTTTGCTGTTTGTCGGTGCAGTTTTAAGAATTGTGTGTAGTTTTGAAAAAAGGCGACACTGTTTTGAAAACGTGTAAGCAGTTGGAAAAACTGTAAACATTTATACATATTAGGGGAAAAGATTGTGAAAATTGTATTATATACTGTAGTTAGATTTATTATAGATTATGAATTTCTAGGCCAGAAATCACAACAATATTAAGTCAGGAAACTAAATTCTTGTTTTATTTTTTGTGAGAATTAAATTTATTTGAGGATATTTTGAGAATCTGTTTTAAAATCACTTCATAATTGAGAAAACTAGTTTTTTTTTTTGAAGAATAGAAATCTGTGCATAATCAACAACATCATGTTTGCTCTACATTATCCCTCATTTACCATTTTTAGTGTGACCAGGCAACAGTATAACAACAGTATAGTTTTTCGAAAATACTCTACATTTAAAATAAAAATGATATAACCACATAATAAGAATTGGAACCAAAACCCAAAATCTAAATCCACAAGGAGCACAAACAATAAAGGTGGCATGTGTTGCTTGAGGCATACATTAATAATAAAAATACCATTATCGAGCATGGATCTCAGTACTAATATCATTATATGTAGTGTTAAAACTGTGAACAGGCATTTAAAATGACTCCCAAACCTGCTGCCGTCCAGAGGGTTGTCCTGCAGTTGTAAAAGTGCCTCTGAACTAAAGAAAGGCATCACATTGGCGGAGTTGTCCTGAAGTGCTTCTGTTAAAGCTTGACAGTGTTTCACCATTACAGTCCTGGCGAGAGGGGAATCGGTGGCAGATCTGGTGTGGTCGTCTTCCGTAATCTCAGCAGGCAGTCCCATCACCACCACAAGCTTCATATCCATCCGCTGCAGGAACGAGAGCCCGAAAGCCAAACTCTGGACCATCTCATGGCTATCAAATACTGAAGGGTCAACCTGCAGACCATACAAAAATCAGCTTTAGGATGCATATTGGAAACGACATGACCTCAAAGAACAACTGTGTGCGTGGGTTGTTTGTAGGCTCACATCGAATCATGTTAATATTAATTTAATATACATTTATTCTGTTTTTATATTAATTTCAGCATTATTATTGAATATGAACCAAATATTTCTATGATTTATGTACAATGCAGTTTGTTAAGTAAACTTTTGTTTTTTAGTATAAATTTTATGAGACTAACACTCACCGGCCACTTTATTAGGCACACCTGTCCAACTGCTCTTTAACGCAAATTTCTAATCAGCCAATCACATGGCAGCAACTCAATGCATTTAGGCATGTAGACATGGTCAAGATAATCTGCTGCAGTTCAAACCGAGCACCAGAATGGGCAAGAAAGGTGATTTAAGTGAATTTAAACGTGGTATCAATGTTAATGTAAGACGAGCTGGTTTGAGTATTTCAGAAAATGCTGATTTTCTTTGTTTACAGAGAATGGTCTAAAAAAAGAGAAAATATCCAGAAAGTGTCAGTTTTGTAAGCGCAAATGACTTGTTAATGCCAGAGATCAGAGGAGAATGGCCAGACTGGTTCGAGGTGATAGACAGGCAACAGTGACTCAAAAAAAAAAAACACTTGTTGTAACCGAGGTATGCAGGAGAGCATCTCTGAATGCACAACACGTCCAACCCTGAGGCAGATGGGCTACAGCAGCAGAAAACCACACCGGGTGCCACTCCTGTCAGCTAAGAACAGGAAACTGAGGCTACAGTTCACACAGGCTCACCGAAATTGGGCAATAGAAGATTGGAAAAGCGTTGCCTGGTCTGATGAGTTTCGATTTCTGCTGTGACGTTCAGATAGTAGGGTCAGAATTTGGCATCAATAACATGAAATCATGAATCCATCCTGCCTTGTATCACAGTTCTGACTGGTGGTGATGGTGTAATGGTGTGGGGGATATTTTCTTGCCACACTTTGGACCTATTAGTACCAAATGAGCATCTTGTTAATACCACAGCCTACCTGAGTATTGTTGCTGACCATGTCCATCCCATGACCACAGTGTACCCATCTTCTGATGACTACTTGCAACAGGATAACACTCCATTTCATAAAGCATGAATCATCTCAGACTGGTTTCTTGAACATGACAATGAGTTTACTGTACTCAAATGGCCTCCACAGTCACCAGATCTCAATCCAATAGAGCACCTTTGGGATGTGGTGGAACGGGAGATTCGCATCATAGATTTGCAGCCGACAAATCTGCTGCAACTGCGTGATGCTATCATGACAATATGGACCAAAACCTCAGAGAATATTCCCTGTACCTTGTTGAATCTGTGCCACGAAGGATTGAGGCAGTTCTAAAGGCAAAAGGGTCTCCAACCTGGTACTAGTAAGGTCTACCTAATAATGTGATCGATGAGTGTATTTTGTTTGCTAAACAAGGGGGGTTCCAATTGAATATGCATTGTAAATCTTAAATAAAAGTTAAAAAGTTTTTAGTTACGTTCTAATTTCTGAGCAGAAATAGCAAAAAAATTCTAGTAGATTCTACCTGGACCTAGTCATTTGCCAATAAAATTTGAATATATTTTTATGATACCACAATTATTTTTATTATAACAGTTAGGTAAACCTACAATACAGTTTTTATAAAGTCATTTAGATATAAATTTTAGACTACTGAATCTGAAAGTGTTCTTTAAGGCTATTAGGAGGTCATATATCTGTAGCGTACCCTATATTAGGTTAATTTAGTTTGAGCAGTGATCCTGAAACAGGAAAAGGCTTCAATTGTCAGCAGAGTCAACAAGCTAGAAACTATGACAGAAAGGATCTGTCCACTCATGCACAATTTAGGCAGCAGCAGCACAGATGAATAGATGGTCAAGTCTTCACATTAGATGTTCAAATTGTGCTTCTGATTAAACTATGCTACAGTGGCAAATATGTCACTTTAACAAATGACTATTATATTACTATTATATTTTATATCATATACTGCTCAAAAAACAAAGGGAGCACTTAAACAACACAATGTAAATCCAAGTGTTTCCTTTAGTTTTTGAGCAGTATATATTATACTATATGTATACTATAATACTTTTATGTACATATCAATCATTTCATATATTTTTTAGGAATCAATTTGTAAAAAATCATATTTAATATACATTTAAAATGTTTATTGAACATTTACACATTAAATACAATTTATTTAGAAAACATCATAAAGTTTGAGAGTTAGAGCAGAATTAACTTGTAAACAAAAATAAAGCACAGTGTCAAAACTATCTGTTAATGAACAGTTTCCATATTTTGTGATTCACAAGTGTTTTCTGTTTATTTACAGTTGTGAATTGCATTATGGGATGCTGACCTCCACTGTCGACTTTTGATGTGGAAAATTCAACTCTACAACTTAAAGTGACTTTTACTGACATTATAGTAGTTTGAAATAATATAATGTATAGGATATAATATATACAGAAAAAAGTGTACTTAATAAAGTGTCCGATGAGTGTATTTTGTTTACTAAACAAGGGGTTCCAAATGAATTTGCATTGTAAATCTTAAATAAAGGTTTAAAATTTTTTAGTTACACTCTAATTTCTGAGCAGAAATAGCAAAAAATGTTAGAATGGACCTAGTCATTTGCCAATAAAATTTAAGTTTCATATTTTTACAATACCACAATTATTTTTATGATAACTGTTAAGGAGAATTACAATACAAATTTTCTTTTATTTATATTTTAGACTACTAAATATATAAAGAAATAAGTCTGTAAGATAACAGAACATGTCCTGGCACTTTATTACAAGGTTTTTGTACTGTAATTTAAAACACAAATTTAAAATGCTCATAAAAGTCACCTTGTCCAACCTTACAAGGTTAAATGTTGTTGGAAGAAAGATCATGGTCCCTTTAATGCAATTCAAAAGCATAAATAAACTGGGAAAAATAAAAACATGAATCACAAAATACGAAAAACTGCCAATTTACAGATTTTTTTTTTTTTTTACAGTGTATTAGGTTAAATATTAGCATGAACTTATGAAAACAGAGATCTTTCTAGAATGCTAATTTGTGGCACAATAACTATTTATTTATTTAATTGTTTGTTATTAAATTGTGAAATTTTAGTTGTAATCGTGCAAAATATTTTCTTTCATGTAAATGCTAATTGGAAGTCAATTATTACTGTTTTTATGATATTTTTGATCAAATAAACCCATAGTTATTAACAGAAGAAACTTGGTGTCAAGGGTGTCAACTCAAAAGTAGGCTGTATTTTCTTAAAGTAACAACTTTAATTTGATGGAATATTTGGCTGGTTTTTAGCCTACCTATTTTAATATACATCACTTAATGAAATAATAATAAAATACACAAAAATGGTCTATTACCCATGACTCGTGAATTCTGCAGTATGTACAAGTGAGTTGAGTACACGCACCTCCAGCACCGCGAAGGCAGGAGTGGACCCGGCCCGCTGAAAATGTGTCAGCCAGTAGCGCGCCTCCCGCGGGTCTCCTCCAATCTCACGGAGGAAAGCTTTGACATCTCTGTAGATCAGCGTGCGGTTGGACCAGGCGCTGCGCTCACCCAGGGACGAGTGGTTGTAGGACTCTTGCTGGCTCCACAGCGGGGTTTTGCTGCCATGTCCAGCGGTCCTGGAAGAGCTCATGCGCCGGTTCACCTCTGCTGCGCTCCGCCGATGGGGACCGCTCCTCTGCGAACTCAAAGCGAACGGTTTGGTCCAAAACTGGCCAGCCATGACCATGGCCCTGCAACCGGACGAACCACTGTTGACTTTGGCCATGAGTCGCAGAGGTGAACCTAAAAATTGTAGCTTTCGTTGACCTGAGGAGTTGGAGTGAATGCTGTCCAGGCGCAGCCACGTGCCTCAACCAGCTGACCGGAGAGCGGCTTGATAATACCCGGTCCAAATCAGCAACTTTAGAAATAAGGTCTTTGGTTTTCCTCTTTTGGAGAGAGACTTCAAAGGTAAAATAAGATAAACTGTAGCTAATACGGCTGAGAGGAGCTCTCTAAACAAAAAGCTTCTCCCAAAAGAAAGAAATACATATTTTAAATAGTTTACACTGACAGGTTTCTCATTCCAATGATTGGTTCTTTCTACCTGTAATCTTTTGTTACTGGGGAAATTGAAATTTCCTCATTCCCCAACCAACTCAGGTCATGTGGGTACAGTCATAATAAATGTTCTTTATAGCATTCATGTTTCCATGAAGAATCTTTAACATTTTTTAAAAAATGTTCATAACAAGAAAAAAAAAACAAGTGTTAAAATGTTTTGCTAAAATAGTTCTGTGTCATCAGCTATAGACTAAAAATGCTATATTTTACTCACACCTAAATCAAATATTATATCAAATCTAAAAATGTAAAACTATATAAATTAACAAATTACAAAATTAACTATTTAAATTTACAAATTAATTAATTACTTTTACAGACCACAAATTCCCCTATACATTAGACATGGGATGATAACCGATTACCGCAGTTTTAAAAATTAAAGGTTTTAAAACCGTTAAAATTTCCTGGTATTCCATTGCTAAAGTATTTGTATTTTTTTATTTGGATTTTACCCCTTTTTTTAAAAGTTTAGTTTAGAGCAACAGTATCTCCAGCAAAAAAGAATCCTTCACATCAAATGCTACTTGGTCAGTCCATGATTCAAGAAACATTTGAGCAACAAATCGCTCATAATCAAACATCCAAGCATGCTACTGAACATTGCAGTGACTCACTTTATTTCCAAAGAAATTTCCAAAGATAACTTTTCAAAAATCTGTTTTTGAAACTATTGAAGACAGCAGAGGTCAATGATTTATTTTAATTTATTTAGCCTGACATGTTTATTGTCCCAAAATACTATAAATGTTTCCTATAATAAAATATACCGTGTTCAAAAGGTTGATTTTTTGGGTAACACTTTATTTTGATGGTCCATTAGAGTTTTAGTAGACTGTCAGCTTAACATCTGCTGATATGCTCCATGCCTCCATCAATGGACATTTAATTCACTATAAGAAACTTTGCAAGTGCAGGTCAGCTTACACTAACCCTCACCCCAACCTAACAGTCTACTTATAATCTAATGAGAATTGGTTGGCAGGTATATGCAATGTAGCTTAAATTAAAAAAACACCATCAAAATAAAATATGACCTTGTTTTTTACCCAGACATTTAAAAAGAACATGTTTCAGAGTAGTAATCATAATACTGTGATATCATGAAACCGTGGTATTTTTATCCAAGGTTATACTCTCAGAATCTTGTTCCAGCCCATGTCTAGCTGGGTTGTCATAATAAAACATAGGGTCAAAATAATGGACAAATAAAGCACATTGATGCCATCGAAAAGAGTTGCTTCCTAAAAGCCTCTCTGTTCAGTTCTAAAAAAAAAAAAACATTTTATTAGTAAAAAAAATCATAAACCTAAAGAATATTTTTTTTCTTAATTATATAATACAAACCACTTTGTGAAAGGGAGACGTTTTGTGCAACCATCGACAAGAAAATTAAATAATTTAACAGCATTTGCCACAACGATAAAATCTCTATAGTATATACAATTTCAGGGGCTCTCAGGTGTATAGCATAATACACTATACTTAGAGTGTTTTTTTATTAAAATGTAAAAAAATCTAATAATAGTATGTATATATACACTGTTAGACATTTCAAAGGGTTTTTACAGTAACTTACTGGCAACACTGTTGCCAGTAAGTTACTGTATTTTAGATTTACAGTATACAACTGTAAATCCGTTTACAGCATGTTACCGTAGTGTCTGAAAATGGTTAACTACTGTAAAAACCTAAGTTAACAGTTAGCTACTGTAAACCTTTTAATTTTGTCCTAAATATTTTATAATATAATTTTTATTAATATTATTTTAATACTATAGACCTAAAAAAGACACAATTACAAAATATTAACAAAATAAACACTCTTTATTTAAAACATTGGAGATGCTTAAAACAAGCTTAAAAATGTGTAAAAACATTACATTTCAATCATTCAAAATATTTTATTTTAAGAAAAAAAAACATTGAAAATGACAAAGCACATTAACATACATGTACAAAACTAATTTAAGTGTCTGACCTGCATATTGTTGAGAAAAAAAAAACCAATTGTACTAAGTACTACTGACATTAAACCAGACACAATTACAAAATATTCCATTCTTTAAAACATTAATAATGCTTAAAGCATTTGAGGAAAATGTGTGAAAATTACATTAAGCAATAAAATCAACACATTAAAAATAAATAAATCACACAAAGCACTAGAACATACATGTACAATAAAAATTTAAACTTCTGAATTGCATATTGTTGGAAAAATAAATATTTGTAACTATTAGCCGACTCAGAAACAACCCAACTTTAAAATATTACTAGTTCTGGTGTCAAATGCTCAACAAGGTCTGAATTCACATGTTCAAATGCAATTCATCTTTATTTCTATTGCACTTTTACAATGTAGATCAATGATGTCAAAGCAGCTTAACATAGAAGTTCTTATAAATTGAAGCTGCTTCAGTCCAGTTTTCAGAATTGAAGCAGTAAATGTCACTGCTGAAAGTCCAAACACTGAAGAGCAAATCCACCGATCCACCAATCGTAGCCAAGTGATCCAGTGGCGACAGTGGCATGGAACAAACTTCACCAACTGACGAAAGTGTAGAATAAAAGCCCTTGAGTGAAACCAGGCTCAGTTGGGCACGACCAGTTCTCCTCTAGCCAAACTTGTGCAAGGCCGCAGTCTAGGCACCAGAGGCTTGAAAGTTCACCAGCGGGTGGTCAGGCTGGCCCATTGGATCAATGCGGAAACTCATTGATCACGTGTGTCTTTTAGGATTCACTCCTCCATGACCACCACAGCATCTGGTCAGGATTTGGCCCAGTCCAGGATTATGAAGAACTCTGGATAAGGACAAACAGACTAGCATAAGCATAGAAGAAGCTTGTTTAAAAAAAATAAATCATATACTGGTTAATTATTTCGAAGCATGGCAGCTAGGTTGGGGTAGTTTTCAGCTGGTACTGAGCAACTGGCTCCTGCTCATAACCTGCTCACTACCATGTTTAAAAGAAAACTAACCAGAATGTCCTGTTTATTTTTTTCCCTAACAAGGTTTTACAAAAACATTGTAGCATTTGTGATGGGTTGATTCACTGCAGGACAGATTAGACTATTTGTTTTATGTATTCCTAATAAACTAAAACTGACTGAATACTGATACAATTATTGAGAGTGTCTCACCTAATCCAAGTTCTCAGTTAGCTGGTGAAAGAAGGATAACTCACTGTTGTTCATGGTTGTCATTCTCTTCACTACTTCTCCTGCTATCTTCTGGCTCACTCTGGTTGTTGCTGTGCATTTTGTTTCATCCTCTGGAATTATTTATACAAAAAATTGTATTATTTTATTTATTACAAAATATTTAGGCAACATGAAATGGGGAAAAAGACATTTAATACATAGACAAATGCATGTATCCCAATACTAATTATTGTATTTTGAAATGTCTGACCCATGACAGACCTCAATCTGCTCAAAAATATTATAAACAAAGATGAAAAAAAAACCTACTAAATGGTTTAATAAAAAAGGGAAAACGATTTTTTTATTTAGCTAGCAACTAAACATGTGACACATTTTGTATTAAAAGTAACGTTAATATATTGAGAAACAAATAGATGTACAGTACTTACTGTTGTATGAGGTCCAGTTTGCACAGGCAGGCTCCCAGTATTCTATATTGAGACCATAAAAAAGCCAAAAATACAGATAAGAATACCATGCTACAATCCACAACCTCCACACAACTTTTTTTTATTTGTTTACCTTGGTTGCTTACTGGTCTTGCTTATTTTTTAAGCATAAGGCTGTGCTGATCAAGATGTTCCTCCGAAATGCTGTTTGTTTCTTCAGACAAAACCTGCTGCTGTGCCAGTGCCATATCTAAACAGAAAAAAATATAATGGTAACAATTATGTTAAACCAAATGTCAAGAGTTGTGATAAAAAAATAATTAGCAAACAATAAATAGCAAAAAGGTGGTTATTAGCATAATGCATAGAGGTAAAATTGGTTTTATATTAGCAGATTCAGACTTCCCCCTTAATAATTTAATTTCATAAAAGTATTATTTGCAAACTCTAAATAGCGAAATCATTTTAGCAGCTAATGACTATCAAAGTACAACATGCTCACGGTCAAATAAACAGTGTTAATGTTGATTTCAAGTCATACTGGCATGCTAATTCTGATCGAATATTCAAAGTAACATGGTAAACAGTATAGAGTCTTCTAAATGAACGAATGTGCGAATATAAAACCAACTTTACCTCTATGCATATTGTAACGTTATAGATTTACGTTAACGTTCTTATAGGTTACGTCGCGATGTTATTTTCTCAAGCTAACGTTATAAGTTACTCTAAACCAGAGAAAAATAAGTTCACAACATCTAATATATATAGTATAAATCAATATAAGTTAAACGTTGCACGTTAAAATGAGTTTGAGTCCAATTCAGTATAAACTTAGCTCAGTTTAGCTAACAGTTAACATTACCATTTTAAGATCGCTTCAGCCAATGTTGCCGAGCAAACAAATGCCAATAGAGGTGCTCAAATCAATGTCGAGTGTTGTCAGCACAGACAGACGCGCTTTTACCTGGATTATTTGTTGGTCTTTCATTCATATTCTTGTGGGGGAAAACACTCTCTGCCGGACCGTTGTCTCGTGCTAAGTGTCCTCCAAAACTGTCTGCATACCTCTGGTTCCCTCCTAAACCAAAACCCGCTGCAACACCGGTTCCTATGTAAATAAATAAAAAGATATGACGAGAACAATGGCTAATAGTCATAAACAGTCTTATTTAAAGTAATAGTAGTGTTAATGTAATAAATTAAATAAAGGTAACATCTTAATAGATTATATATTTCTCAAATGGGCGAAATAACGCCAAGCCAGAGAAAATAATCATAGCCAACTTTATACTTTACTTTGTTCTATTCTCGTCCACAAAACATTCTGTAAAATGAAACACTGCCTCAGCTTACCAGAGTAAAGTTTGTTAAATCCAGTATGTTCTTCAGGCACACTAATAAATTGTCCTCCAGAATTGCTCCAGGGTCCTCAGGCAAAATGTGGTGCAGAGTAGTCGAATCGCCGCAAGGTGGCGTTGAAGCAGTTGTGGAAAATACAGTATAATACACGAATTTTTACAAATACAGTACATCGCTGTATATGTTGTTCGACGTCACACTAAATTCCCATAATGCAACGGTAAATACAGTTATTTACCGTAAAAGGAATTTGCAGTATTACACTGGGTGAAATACAGTAAATAACTGTGTAATTTACAGAAATGTCTAACAGTGTATATATATATATATACTAGGCCATGTGAATTCATTTGGAAAGCTGGTATTTCCCTGAAGAATGGAGTGCTGCCGTCCCCTGTTTGTCCGACATCAGGGTAATCTGATGCTGTCAGTGAGAGCTCCATATGGCCACAAACACTCGCTGACCTGGATTACTTCACTTTCTCTGCACACAAAAATCTGCACACAAATCTGCTTATACTCCAGTGGTTTAACGCTCAGTCTGTGCCACAGCAACCGCAGTTAAAACTCTCATATTTTGTACTCGTTTTGTGTTTAATGTGGATGTAATAACACACTGGCCTTCCCGTGTGCAATGATGCATCAAATATGTTTCATTACATTATGATGTGAAATTAATTGGTGTGTAATCCTTTGGCTTCAGCAACAGCAATTTGGGTTTGAGGCTTTACAGCCAAATGGAAAATAATTAATTTAATAACATAGGGTCATGTGATCAATGGGCAATGAAATACCTTTTGAATATGATGATATACAGTATTTAAAATATAATGATGTACATTTAGCATTTTACTGTATTAAGGGACATAGTATAAATACTAGCAAATTCATTTATTCATTTTCTTTTTGGCTTAGTCCCTTTATTAATCAGGGTTCAGCACAACGGAATGAACCGCCAACTTATCCAGTATTTGTTTTGCGCAGTGGATATCCTTTCGGCTGCAACCCATCAATGGGAAATGCCCATATTACAAGCAAATCTAAGTGCTAATTTCTATAAATATTTTTTTTTCCCAAACTACTAATACTAACTGATCCAATTACTGTATCTACTAAACTATAATTTTTTTTTTTTACTGAAATATGGATGTGGACAAAATTAAAGAGAACCCAAATAAATTAAAAACAACCATGACATTTTATTTAAATCTAATGAACAAATGCAGTTTTTGACAAGAGAAAACAAAACTGTTAAAATGGGATAAATGGGTGTTTCAGGAGCAAGTACTTTAAAATTAAATAAAATATTGAAATTAATAAATAAAATAATACATATTTTGGGGTAGAAAAACTTGAGTGAAATTAACTTAAAAATAAATATTAATTATATTTATTGCAGGAATAAAAAGGCAATTTTTAAAACGTCTAATACTGTTGGGGACTAAATAGAATAGAATAAAAAAAATCAATAATTACCTCTTTATGTACAAGTAATAATACAAATAATACAATTGCTTCTAACAAGAACTTACAAGTGAAAATAAATATCTGTAAGAAGTAAAAAAAAATAATAAAAAAATAACATAAAAGTGGTAATTAAAAAATAAAATAAAAACGCTGCTGGATAAAAGTAACCAGTAAACATTAGTAAGTAAAAAAAAAAAAAAAAAAAAAAAAAAATTTCCAAAACACCAGTAAGAAGTAATATAATCTACAAAAACAATTTAAAATCTAAAAACAGTCCAGATTCCAACACAGCCAAGTTTCTTTAGTTGGAAATGTGCAAATTTCCTCTTAAGTTTGATCATTCCTTCAACTAAGAGATGATGTTATAACTCTAGCATCACACTTCAAACAACACTATTGATCTTTGTAGGGAAAAACAGTCAAAATCAGGACAAAGAAGGCTTCATTTTCGCAGTCCACAATCCAAAGAATGCTGGGTTGTTGTAGATTTTTCTTTTTTTTTACTTAGTTTCTAGTCCAAATATCTAAAAACACTAACATCAAGAAGCATCTTCTAGAGAAGCAGTGTTGTGCTAGTTCCTTTAAAGTAGTAACTAGTCACAGTTATTAGTTACTTTATTCAAAAAATTGCTTTAAAAATATTACTTGCACCAAAAAGTAAAGCCTAACTGTTAAGAGTCATTTTTGAGTTATTTTTGCAAAGAACATTTTAATGCTCTCATTAATGCCCTTATATTGTCACTTCAGTGCTGCATGGAAAATACACTGTTGATCAACTTCAGTTTTTATTAATTTGCATTCTCATAACTAAAACACAAGACAGACTTAAAGTAACTGGTCACACTTTATTTTGATGGTCCTTTTGTTGAATTTAAGTTACATTGCATTTACATGCCAACTAATTATTATTACATTATACAGTTGAAGTCAGAATTATTAGCCCCCTGTTCATTTTGTCCCCCAATTTCTGAGAGAAGGAGAGAAGATTTTCCAACACATTTCTAAACATAATGGTTTTAATAACTCATCTCTAATAACTGATTTATTTTATCTTTGCCATGATGACAGTAAATAATATTTTACTAGATATTTTTCAAGACACTTCTATACAGCTTAACGTGATATTTAAAGGCTTAACTAGGTTAATTAGTTTAACCAAGTAGGTTAGGGTAATTAGTCACGTTATTGTAAAACGATGGTTTGTTCTGTAGACTATTGAAAAAAAAATAGGGGCTAATAATTTTGACCTTAAAATGTTTTTTAAAAAATAAAAACAGTTTTTTTTCTCGCTGAAATAAAACAAATAAGACTTTCTCCAGACAAATAAATATTACCAGACATGCTGTGAAAATGTTCTTGCTCTGTTAAACATCATTTAGGAAATATTTTAAAAAGAAAAAAAATCAAAGGGGGCTAATAATTCTGATTTCAACTGTAAGTAGACTGTTAGGCTGGGGTTAGGGTTAGCGTTTCTGGTAACACTTTACAATAAGGTTCATTAGTTCATGCATTTACTAACATGACCTAATCATGAACAACACTTGTACAGCATTTATTAATCATTATTGAACATTTACTAATGCTTCATCAAGTCCATGCTTGTTAACATTTGTTAATGCACCATGAGTTAACATGAACTTACAATGAACTACTCTATTTTCATTAACTAACATTGACTAACATGAATAAATACAGCAGTAGATGTATTGTTCATTGTTTGTTTATGTTAGTAAATGCATTAATTAACATTAATTAATTCACCTTATTGTAAAGTGTGACCAAGTTTCTTGTCTTGTTAAAGTCAGTTTAATGTCTGTTGAAGAAGCATATCAGCAGATATTAAGCACACAGTCTACTAATACTTAAATGGACCATCAACATAAAGTGTTACCAAGTAATTTTTAAACACTAAGTTTATACTAAGCATCATTTTGTAATGATAACGAAGTAACTATACTTAAAAGTTAATTACTAAAAACCCACTATTGTTCAACACTAGACAAGTATAAAATATTGTTTATTTTCAAAAAATAAATAAATAAGTCACAATTAAGTGAGTTAAAACATTAAAACAAGCAAAAATATCCACCAGTGGGGTGAGTACAATAATCTTATTTCAAACCAAAAACCAAATAATTTTACTTACCCCACTGGCAGATAAGTTAGGACAAACAGGCTAAAATTTGACTGATTATTTCAGAAAAGAAAGCTACATGTAAATGCTATGCTTCTCTACACTGTAAAAAATGAAATAACAAAAAGTCAACACAACAACAAGGTTTTTGTTGATTTAACTTATTTTAATAAGCTAATCATGTTTCGGCTATTTAATTAAGTAATACAAAGTTAAACTAAATATTTTTGTCACTTTGATTAAAGTAGGTTCAGATGAATATAAAAGTTCATTTGATTCAACAAAAAAACTGAAGGCAGCAATATTTATATTAAAGTGTAGAAGATGTTTTCTAGATATTTGTACTAAAAACAAGACAAAAACTATGTAATAAAAACATTTATTTTAATTTTAATTGAAAAAATGAACCCAACATTAGGTTTATCCTCATTTCATTGCCTTCCAAACTGGTTCAACTCCAACAATACACATTTAAACTCTTCCTATTCAAAAACACCTGAATAACCTCATCAGAACATTACAAGAGACTCCAAAACCTAAAGTTAATGGGCAGATAAGGGAGACATCCAAGATATGTACTGTTGGTGTGCCTACAGCAACAGGGTTGGGAAACACTTCTACTTGACCCAACGAGTTACAACAATGTTTTAGTGCAATGGTCTGAAACTCAATTCCTGGAGGGCTGCAGCTCTGCACAGTTTATCTCCCACCACCTCCAATTTACATCTGCTTATTAGTCTCTAGTCGTCTCGAACACCTTGATTAGTTGGATCAGCTGTGTTTGATTAGGGTTAGAGCAAAACTCTGCAGAGCTGTGGCTCTCCAGGAATCCAGTTTGAGGTTTATGTTTTAGTGTATGCATTATCAGACTATTGTGATTCCCCATCGTTCTGCTCCCAGTACTTTCTCTTCTTGCGTTTTCTCTCTGCCATGATCAAAGCACCAAAGACGGTCACGATGACGGTAGCGGTGATGACCAGCACAGTGACTGTCTCGGCCACGCACAGCTGACTGTCCACCCAGGCCAAAGAGGCTCCGGCCAGCTGCCACGGCTCCCGACAAGTTACGTTATGGTAGTCGTCAACGTGAAGGTGCCGAACGCTAAGCAGCTTGCTGAAAACACGGTGCAGGTCACAGTCGCAGCTCCACGGGTTTCCAGACAACAGCAGGTGCGTAGTGGCCGTGCGCAAACTCAAAAACGTCTTAAAATTCAGGTGCTCCAGTTGATTCCCTTCTAAACCCAAAAGCGAGAGACTGTGTAAGGGTGCGAGTGCGTTTACCTCAATCTGAGAGATGTTGTTGTTCCCTAGCTGCAGGACTTCTAGAGCAGGCAACATAGTGAGGGATCTGTCCCGAATGACATCTAGGTGGTTCCCTTGCAGGTAAAGGTGCCGCAGACGGGACAGGCCTCGGAAAGCGCCGGGTTCCAGAGACTGGATGTGATTGTGGCTGAGGTCCAGCTTCGCAAGGTTCTCCAGATGTTCCAGCCCTGGAGGTTTCAACAGCTGCAGTGCATTGTGGTCCAGCCGCAGCTCACGCAAGGAAGATAGGCTCTCGGAGAAGTTCGGTGGGATCTGGGTGAGGTTGTTATGACTCATGTCCAGCTTCTCCAGAAAGGATAGAGAGAAGAAAGCCTGTGTGGGAAAGAGGTAATTAAGTAAGCATATTAGTTAGTGTTATGGCACCAGACATGTGTCGATATTTAGGAATTCAGTATGTTGTGATCTTGGACAAGCGCAACACTGATATGGTGAACACTAAAAGATGAAATAATTCACAGTATTTTTAAGAGTACCTTTAGAGTAGTTAGCAGAGTAGTCCCAAAATGCTTTAAAGGGTCAAGAAACACCAAAACACATAGTTTGAGATGTTGACAGTCATGTATGTGTCCCACGTTGCTAGAAAAACACCATTAGGTCACACATATTTAGCAAACAAGTGAAAATTGGTTGTTTTTGCGTTATTTTGAGCAAATTCATTCTTTCGGTTTGAAAATAAATTTTGATGCTACGTCAAGGCCATGGGATCATTGTGTAAATTACAGTGTAGATTGGCTGCCTCTGCCTTTGAGTTTTCAGAATTAATTCACGAGAAAGACTTGGTTCAAACAATCAGCGCGCTCTTTTGTTAATGAGATTTAAATTCATTAATATTCATGATATCGCTGTTTTAGTAGACTGTTTTTTCCTGTTACAGTGTTCAGATGGCAGAGAGACGCCATGTTGTGTTGCTAATCGTAATTAAATCAAGTGGAAATAGAAAATTTGTTTGGAGACGTGGGTCATCGGTGTTGCGTTTATAAATGTGCCGCAACAAAGATTTTGTTTCCTGTTCCCCTTTAAAGGGCCATGAAACCCCCGTCTCAGCAGGGTGTTTTCACACTTCTAGTTTGAAAAAAAGTCAGGGTTCATACGGTCCTGGGAAACCTGGAAAAGTCATGAAATTTCAAAAAAGGCATCTGTCAGGCTTGGAAAAGTTTTGGAAGGAGAAATAAACCAAAAATGTTTTGGAAAAGTCATGAACATTTTTTTAACAATTATCTGTGTACTTGAATATACTTGAGATGAACTTGAATTATACTTGACACTATATTTGATGGGTAAACTAATAGGTAAAAGAAGAAAAACTTAAAAAATCAAAAGCAATTTTAGCTTTGCCTCTCGTTCACCGTAACTCAAGATACATTGAGTGTCGTGTAAAGAAACAATATCTAACAGCAGAGGTAAGATACTGTGGGTGCTATAGGCCAATTTGTTCTAATCTTAAGTCTTGTGAAAACACAATTTATCAAATTTTCACGCAGACAGCAAGATACTTTATAAAAACTCTTTTACAGATATAAAAATAAATATAAACTACATTGTCACTTATTTTTGATATGCTGTAATAAATTTAAACATGCATTTTTTCTTATTTACCACGTGTACATAGACATTACATGAAACATGAAACAAGATCAATATTTACCCTAAAGATTGTAGTGATATTACTGTAAACATAGTAACTAAATCATATTTACTCATCAAATCATTAAAAGTATGTCTTTAAAAACTGAAAGAGTACTGCTGACGATACTAACGCACTAACTTTGCCATCTAAATAAACGTAAACAACGAACATTGATCTTAGATCTACCAATTTTGTAGACACAGGACAATCAACATGAACTGGAACTGCAAGGAACGAGTGGCAAATCTGGATTTCACTATTTCCAGATTCGAAAAGCTCTCGGCTAAAAAAAGGTTTCTTACAAACATAGTTTTGTCGCGTGTTAGCAGACCACTGTAATCCACACATGTGGGTCCACATGCGAGCTGTGCTCTCATTGTAGAGAAATGGAAACAAAACCTTCCTGGCAGCACTTTTATAAACGCAACACTGATGACCCATGTCGCCAAACAATTCTTCTTCTACTACTTGTTTAAATTTCGATTGGCAACACAACATGGCATCTCTCTGAACACTGTAACAGAGTCTTTGAAGCTATATCATGCTTTTTAATGAACTTGCCTCTCGCTCACAATAGAGCGCGCTGATTGGTTCGAACCAAGTCTTTCTCATGAATTAACGCTAAAAACTCAATGACGTCACTTTGTACTGGCCAATACAGACAGCCAGTCTCCATGCTGTAATTTACACAATGAAATCATGGCCGTGATGTTGCTTCAAAATTTGTTTTCAAACTGGAAGAACAAATTTGCTCTAAACAACGCAAAACAACCAATATTCACTTTTTAGTGAAATATATGTGTCCTAATAGTGTTTTTAGCAACATGGGACATATATAGGACTGTCAACATCTAATAAAAAAACTTGATTTGGTGTTTTGTGACCCTTTGAGCATGATGTTGTTCAGCTTTTGCTCAGGAAACAGGGTTTAGACAAAGTTTGCCTTAATAATTACTTCTTAAAACTTTCTTTTTCATAAAAAATGCTTTCTTTTTAACGGCTTTTGAAGTGTTGCATTTACTATTGATTACAAACCTGTTAAATAATAATGTTTGCAGCTTTGGTCAATAACCTGGTTATACTGTTTATCATGACAATAGCTATAGCAAATGAGTCAAACAAGAAAATGTATTACTTGCAGAAGCCTAACCACACTGTATATTCACTTTTGTAAAAATATTTTATGTTTTTTTTTTTTTTAGTCATAAGCTTCTCTATGTCATCAACTATTTTAAGGTAATCATTGAAATACTCGCTGGAAAAACACTGGAGTGTGATTGGGGGTTTTATGATTGCAAGCAATGTTGGTTAAAGTTACTTTATATGTTTTTTTTGCCCAATAATGGGTTAAGTGTCCTACATTCCACACTCTTTTTTCAGGTTTTATCATTGAGCATCAGATTGAATTATGTAGAAGTAGGTAATCTAGCCCACGTACGCTTTATTTTCTGCATTCTGTCCAGTCTGGTTGTCTCAGCTCATCCTTGAAGCCTACTCAGCAGAGAATGAATGAGTTTGACATGCATTCTTCTGTTTCAGCATGCGTTAGAGAGAGAATTATGATGGACTACCTGTCAAAAAGTTTGATGGATTGTAGCCCCGCCCCCTAAGGCGGGACTTCCGGTCTAAGCCCCGCCCCTTTTATATAAACTTTATAGTTCCGGTAATTAGATTCTTATCGTTTTTATATAAAATAATAATTCCGGTAATTAGATTTTTATCAGACTAATTAAATTATTGATTCCGGTAATTAGATTTTTATCAGACTAATTAAACTTATATAATGATAATAATAACGGTAATTAAATTAGTGTTATTAGAAGCATTATTTAATATTTTTAATTAGTGCTACAAATTATATTTATTATATTACATTAAATTATATTATATTATATTAAGTTATATTAAATCATTATTTTATTAACTGATATTATAATTATATCATATTATATAATAATATTATATTATATTATTATATTTATATTTATATTAAATTTAATTATATTATATTATATATTGTTATATTATATTATATTATTACATTATTATATTATATTATAATTAATAAACTATTAACATAAACATTTCTTTGTTTAACCTGTTTGTGTTTCCTCGGTGTGTCAGTCTGTGTCTGAGCGTGTGATGATAAGGAAAACTTTGGATAACATCCCGTCAACTGCTTGTGAAAGATAGATTTATATCAGATGTAGAATATGTATATCTGATTGTATGTGCTGGGTGTCTCCCACTAACTACTATATGTTGTTAGGTGATTAGAAAGTGTGCTGATATCTATATATCCACATGCAGTCAACTGTATGCATATGTATGTGTGTGTGTGTGTGCGTGCGTGCGTGCGTGCATGTGTGCGCGCTCGAGCGAACTTGGGTCTGGCTTTGTATGCTTGAATCCACGACACAGTATTTACTAAAAATACTCATTAATAGGTTATGTTGTTTTTCACATTATTACTACAATAATACATATTTTAAGACACACAAACATTTTGATTTATCTTTGTCGGAGTATTAAATTAAAATATGTTTACAATATTTTTTTGTCGGCTTAGCCCCTTTATTAATCCACGGTCGCCGCAGCGGAATGAGTCGCTAACTTATTCAGCAAGTTTTTACGCAGCGGACCCCCTTCCAGCTGCAACCCATCTCAGGGAAAATGTTTACAATATTAATCCAGTAAATAACACATCTTAATCTTTATTGACAATAAATTGTCACACCTTTTAAAACAACGTTATCTAAAATTTAATATTCTAAAATGTTGAAAAACACAGATGTAAATTCAAGTTGTCTTTATAATTAATGAAAACTTTTATTATGAAAAACAATTTAAAATGAAAGTTTTTCCTTTGACTAACATGTTTTCAATTTATTTACATGCATGACCTGTAATTTATGGCACACATTGTAATACAGTTAATCCAAAGCCTAATGTTTTGAGCACTGGTCATCACTGATGTTGGTTTAAAAAATCAACATAAAATATTTACTAACAAGGACTTATCACTCTTTAGACATTATTGTTATTTCTGTTTCAAAAGATAAATAAAATGTAATTTTATTACAATAAATTGTAGTAATTGCATTACTAGACAACTTAGTTACTGAACTTTAAATTCAAACTGTTTTTAATTCATTGCAAATACTTGATCATATAAAGAGAAATATGTATATTATTCAGAATAATGGAATAACACTGATATTTATTTTAAGAAGAAAAATTGGCTCTCAGTTTATCTAAAAACAGTACAGCTCCAGCCCTTAGTTAAATCTACTTAATGTTTTATAGTAAATTTTTCTAGTTTAACTACTGAATCCACTATTTACATGTTCATACAATAGTGGCAAATCTAGTAAGTTTACAAATTTGTCAAAATTAGTCAAGTTTACAAATAGTTCTTGAAAGTAGACTGATTACTTTTTTACAGGGTAAATGATGCTTTTCTTCTACAAATACACTTAAACCAAATTTTTGTCACTACACGCAATTTGTTGGGAGTGTATATGTTTCTTTAAACAATGTTTTTTTTTACTGCCAAACACATTTTCAAATGATCAAACTAAAATCTAACGGAATGTTTTTTCACTCTGAATATAAAAGCTTTATCTGTGCATTTTACTTGGAAAAGTGATGTTTAAAATACTATTCATTAAACTTACTGCATGAC